GCAACCTAACATGGAGGATGAACTCAATTTAAATAACTCTATTCAATCAGGTTCATCATTCATGAAGTATTTGAGTAGCGATGACATGTTTCCATGATTTAATCAAGTTTAGCCGAAGATTTATTTTTTTGAGAGTAAATTGAATAAAGAGTAGCATTTTTGGTCTCTTATTCACTCAAAGGTATCTTATGGCTCTTGAAAACTTTGACTCAGCCTCATTCATTGTAATTGCATGGAAAAGAGCACACTTTCATTCAAAATGTTTTCTTAGATAAAGGTCGGCTTGAATGACATGAGGGTCCACAACTTTCATGTTTGGGAGAACTATCCCATTCTAGGCTCTTGACCACAGCGTAGGCCAAGGTCGGTATCCAAATGGAGTATCCCGTTCTACGCTCCCGTCAGGTGACATTTTGGGGGAAGTCATGTTTATGCATTTAGTTTGCGCTGCTGAGTGTCTGATCTCTTGCCCACACACTGTTTTGAGAAGATTTACACAACTTGTTGGCGTTAACCTCGGTTAACCCCACTGTTGATCGCTAAATGACCCCTGTCCCACAAACACATTCTTACAAATACATGTACCCATGAACCTGTGTACTCTACTATGTTATGACCAGAGCAGCTGTGGCAAACATGCAGCACGAACATCACGGCTTTGAAGACACACTGTAAAAAATAAAAGTAAATTTACAGGTAACGGCCTGTATTTTTTAACAGAATTTTTGTCATTATGCAGTGAATGCCTGTTATTTTACAGATATTTGCTGTAATGTAAAGGTCCACTATTAAATGTAAAGGTCATTGCTTGTATTTTGGGTTTACATCAGTTTTATCTGTAAATTGCCTGTATTTTTACAGGGTTGTGTGTAATTTTACATAAAATATGAAGTAATATTTTACAGATTCTTTCTGTGAAATTAGAAAACAACCAAAAGAAGGTATAACTGCAGAAATCAGCAGTCATTTTACATGTTTTCCTTGAAGATCATTAAATGTGTGGGTGTTAAAGTGAGTTTTAAGCTTAATAGAATACATACAGTGTACATACACACAAGCAAACTACTGTAATTTAGCATG